TGCATACTTCCGAGACAATATATATGAAATACACAATGATAAGAAATAAATGAAGAACTACAATCAATATTGTCGTTATACACATCTTAAAATACGAACAAAGCCGACCATTGGCGGTGCGCAACTACAACATACCACTACCACACATCACAAACACACCCACACACACACACACACACACACACACACACACACACACACACAAGAGTGAGAGAGAGAGAGAGACGGAGGAGAGAGAGGAAGAAATAAGACTGACGTTGAGTAGAGTGAGCGATATTCGCCTCGAGAGAGATGCACTCGTACGCTAGTGCTGTGCGTATAAGAGCTGCTTTATGAGCGCATCATAGAGCTAAGCAGGAGAGAGAGAGAGGACGAGACGAGTCACCCCGGGACGAAGACGCTAATGAGAGAAAGACCTCGAGATGAAGAGAGAGAAGCGAGAAGCAGATGCACCAGGAAGAGAGAAAAGACCCGCGACGACGACCGACGAGAGGAGAGAGGGTGGACCGAGGAAGAGATGGAGAGAGAGAAGAGAGAGAGAGAGAGAGAAGAGACCGCACGCACGAAGGAGAGAGAGAAGAGAGAGAGAGAGAGAGAGAGAGAGAGAGAGAGAGAGAGAGAGATGGATATAAATTGATATTAACTTTCAACATAGCACCTACCTATCTCAAACTTTTAACATAGCAGCTACCTATCTCAGACTGTTTGAATGTCACATTTTCTAGCGTTTATATTGCTTATGTTCATTGTGCGAGTATTAATCTATACTAAACGCAGATGGATCGATAAATCTTGAGCTCATCCATAATTTGCTGTAAATCATTCCACGTCATACACTTCATAAAGCTATGATTATGATAAACTTGTAACGAAAAATTCACGTTTTGCATGTAACCTCAAAAATCATATAATCCCCATTAACATTATTTTATTTTATTTATCGACTTTTATTGACCGTTCCTACAGCTAAAAGCAGAGAACTTGGTTATCACATTAAATCGGAAAATCGGAAAATAAATATAAGATGAGAACGCTTTTTAAATATTTTGAGTGGGGTATAACGATCTTTAGTGGGGGCTTTATTTTGTCGATAGAGTGGGCGGATATCTTCATAATTCCAGGGCCATGCCTAGTTACTATTATGGGAAAGTGAGAGTTTAGACCTCTGATTTACCATCAAAGAGTTCAAATCCGTTCATGTTGCGAGGGCCTTCCCTCATTCGTTTTTGAGCGGGTGGAGGTGGTATAGGTACAGGCAAATTTGTTCCCTCTTGGAATAAGGGAGAAAATGAATTGCCGATAGAAAAGAAAGAATGAAAGAAAGAAAGAAAGAAAACACAGATCTGTAATTTCCGATTGGGCAAATTTCTTTCCTCTTGGTGAAATAAACTGCCGACAAGAAAGGAAGAAAAAAAGAAAACACGAGATTCATGTCTTTATTTTCAAGGGAGGGATAAAGGAGATACACAGGACTCTATTTTCTAAGGCAAATTTCTAAGTTCTTGGTGAATAAGGAAGAAAATGAATTGCCGACATAAAAGAAAGAAGAAAAAAATACTGGGGCTACTAGCCTTTATTTCTAGGGGAGGGATAATGTTGGTGCACAGGCTTCTAATTTCCCATATAAGTAGGAAGGTATGTTGAAATGGGGGGGGGAAGTAGGTTCCCCTACAAAATAGCCGGGGGGCTCTGGGCTCGGGGCTGCAGGCCCCTCTCGGGATACAGGGCAGCGCCACAGGGAGGACCAGGGGCGAAGTCCACGGCAGCTCCTGGATTTTAGCAGTTTTAAAGATATAAACTCAGGCAGTTTTAGAACGGAAGAAATTCGCTGACAGAAAGAGTATTGGAGTGCGGAACCCTCCAACCCGTCGTTGCACTCATGCAAATTATAGTCCAAAATTGTCATCCAATAATTTTAATTATTCCAGATGTACCAAATGAATTCCCAAGCATGTTCCCAAGACCTGAAACCAGAGGTTAATATAAGTGCATCAGGAAGAAAAGGCTGAAGTGTCATCATTATATATCCCTTATTTGCTTCTTAGTCATTTTACAAACTTTTTTAAAACAAAAAATACCCTTAATTAAACCCCTGCAGACCTGGGTGAATCAAGGCAGAATTGTAAAAGAATCATCAAAATATATCTAAGCATAATCTTCTACCCGATTAAGATAAGTAATCTTACTTCTAGATGTAATAAAATATCCTGGATTTAATTGCCAAGCACCTGTCCGAAATTTAACGCAGCAAGCTCGGATGCATCGGGGCGGAGATAGATGGATTTAATTTCATAATCATAGACTTTGGACCGTCATCATACATCTAAGCATAACTCCCAAGCCATTTACACAAACTATTGCTTTCAGATATACAGAGTTATCCCTGCATATTTTTCCAAACACCTGTTTAAACAGGTGAACCCACCGGACCTGAGTGAATCGAGGCTGAGTTGGTCAAAATCTTTAACAATATAAGTCCAAACATCATCCTCCAGCCTATCTAAACTAAAGAATCTCGCTTCTGGATATCAGAAACTATCCCGGATCAATTGGCGAGCACCTGACACCTGCCCGAGAGTTGAACCCGGCGGGCTCGGGAGCATCGGAGCGGAGATGGCGTTCGTGTTCTCATACGTATCATAACAAACAGATGGTTGCTCTTGCTTGCTCGTGTCATCCAAGGTTGCATCAGAATTTTGCACATTGACTTTCCCTTTTAGCCATGGGTGTACATGTAAGAAGTGCGAATTCAGAGACTGCTACTTCCTTGATACAAGGAGATTGGCTGTGAGGTGTGGGAAATCCTAAATATGACTTGAAGAGACGTGCCATTAAAAAAATAAAAAAAAGACAGAAGGATGGCTTTTTCGAAGAACAAATTACTTTGGCTGTCCATATTCTGGACGTATGTGCTCCTGTCTGTATTATGTTTTCCTTCAGTTGTATCTGCAAGTAAAAAGAGCTCGCACATGAAAGAAACGGTAAGATGATAATCCCTGGTTGTGGAGTTCTTAAGGTCACGTAGTAGCCTAATGATTCTACAGCATTTTTTGGGGGGGGTGGATGTATTGAAGAAGGACATATGTTTATGAGTAAACAGTTCATGACATCCATTTAATTATCATATTTTACCTAGCTTGGTTAATATTGCCAAGATTGGTACACATAGATAGGGGGAGATGGATGCCATCAACTTATAGAGCATACAAAATAGTCATATACAACACAGGTATAGCTGCTATGACCTCATATTTACCCACTCCCATCCCTTGCCCATTGTTGTTGTGGGTGGGGTGGGGCTTAGGAGACGGTCTGTGTCCCAGTGTAGGGGATCACCCCAATGTTGTACCCCAGCCCTTGCCGCAGCTAATATGGCATGGTCTTTTCTTCTCCCCCTTTCCTTTTCTTTTTCTTCATCCCCTTCTGTCCACATCCTAAAGTGTGAAAGCTGTACTGAAATGATTAAAGGCGGGCGTTGTCAGTCCAGAACAGCCTTCGTACTCCATTTGCTATTCCCTCTTGACCCCCTAACATCTAACCTACAACACTGCAGCATTTGACATCTAGAATATTTTGGCAAATTAGTTCACTCATTTTACCCTTTTTGTCATAGTGCAGTATGATCACACAATACCTGGGGGCTTTGTCCGTAAGTCTCACCATATTGGTATATTCAGAATATGCCTCTAATGATAATGATATGGTAGAAAACTTCAATAGATTAAATAAAAACCATATTTACCATGAACTCATATTTACCAAGAAATCACAAAAATATCTGCTGCATATCACTACTCAGAGACTAAATCCACAACATCTTAACACAGAGTTTTTAATGTTTAATGACACATTTTTGGTAAGTTCCTTTTCTATAAGTTTGTATGAAGTAGTTATGAATAATATACAGAGAATCAGTGATGATATTGTCCAATGCAGGTGACTATGTCCCCAGCGACTCCTGCAATGGAAGACAAAGAATCGTAGTGACAGATTCTGTGTCTATTATTCATATTTTATCCCATAATTTCCCTTGTATCTTTCATGCCCTCCCTTGCTATAGGGGCCAAGAATGTGGGGGTTTGGGGGAGTTCCGCAGCATAATTCCTACATATATGTGTACTAAAGGGCAAAAGGAATCCATCGATGTCAAGATTGTCATAGTCGGTTATGCGAAGGGAAATTTTAAAATTACTGGGTCTACAACACTGTGGGTGGTAGACGTATTTTGATGTGAATAACAGTATTTAAGAATGTCATTCAGTCAAGTAACTTAATCCTTTGATATCAGAATGGTATGTAATACATACATACATGTTAGCTAATTGATTTTGATTTGACATTGATGTCTCTGTAAGAGTTTAGTTACCAAAAAGACTATTACTAGTCCTACTAGATCTCACCTGATTTCAGAACTTTCTTATATTTTTTTCCTTATTGCTATTAGTACTAAAAAGAACATTATTTTATCCCAGCCAACAATAACAATAATAACAATAATGATATTTAACATATAATGTTCATTAACATTGTTTTGTGAAATGTGTTTATACATAAATGGCTCCACAAGTGCTGAGCCACCAAGGTGTCATTTAGGTATTTGCGTAGAATACCATCACATAAATGATTGTGATGATTTTGGTATGGATGGATTCCTCTCACCAACTAGTCCACACACACACACACACACACACACCACACACACACACACACACACACACACACACACACACACACACACACACACACACACACACACACACACACACACACACACACACACACAGCACACACATACACACACGTACACACATTACACACACACACACTTACTTACACACACACATACACACTTACACACACTTACACACATTACACACACACACACACTTACACACACTTACACACACTTACACACACATACACACACATACACACACATACATACACACACATATACACTTACACACACATATACACTTACACACACATATACACTTACACACACACACACACACACACACACACACACACACACACACACACACACACACACACACCACACACACACACACACACACACACACACACACACACACACACAAACACACACACTATGTCCCAATAGCAGGGAAGGGCATGAAAGGTAGCAGGGAAATTGCAGGGTAAAATATGAATAATATATACAAAATATTTTCAGAATAAGTAATTAATTTGTCTAATATAGGGGGCTGCACCCCTTGTGGTCCCCCCTTGGGGGTTGCTGACCCCAACCCCCACCCTAAAAGACAAAGAATCCTCTACATATTCATGGCAGGGTAAAGTGTATGACTGGCATGTGGGAGTGCCCATGCTGAGTCTGTCGATCTTCCATCCTGCTATACTTATATATTGGATACGGTAGTGGGGGTACTGACCTTACATGGGGGGTTGCAGGGGAATACTTTCATAAAAAACTATTTCAAAAAACAAACTCATCTTACTTAAGGCTTATTGTCTCTTGGCTCTAAGTTGATATGAAGCTAATACATAGACAGTTTAAGTTCTGAAAAGATAAAGCTGTAACGTAAATGATGTAAGCATTTATAGTTTAGAATCCTTGTTCCTTTGCATTCATGATTCATTTTAGTGGTATATTGCAAAAGCATTTATATTAAGATCATCAAAAATATTTATGGTAGCTTCTCTGTATGCACCCAACACTGATTCTCATCTTAAAGTGGCTGTTATTGTATTGTATTATTTTTTAATATCTTTCTCTTTTAAAGTCATGTTAAAGGATTTTCCTAAATCCCCTGAGAATATATAGCTTTATTATTACTAATTCTCCAATATCTTATTCATTCTTTCCATTATAACCCTAGATAAAATGTAATGATATTACATTCGATTAATATTGATAGGTTCAACAATTTATACAAACTTAAAAGAAGTTCATTTATATTATATTTTGACCTTTTGTCATTTTGATATTTGTTAATAAAGAGGATCCAAATTTGGTCTTGCCTGATTTAATCCTAAACATAAATATGTGTCACTGACTGCTTTATAAGATTGCTCTCAATAATGACTAATCCTAGCAATGCAAGTTGCCTCTGATTTGTCACCAAATCGGGCAAAACATGAAAAATTTATGTCATTCCATCCATTTCCACTTAATCCATGTGCCTCTGGTTTATCTACTGTCCACTGTATTTTTTCCTGAATTTTGGTGCACACAGAAGGCTCTTCAAGTGTTCAGCCACCAAGGAGTAAATTAGTAGGCCCTAGTGACCTGATTTCCCTATTCCCTTTTTTCTAATGCTATAATGTTGAAGATACTTCTGTTACTATTTGGAAATTATGATTGTTAGGATGTTATTAGAGTACTTTATTGTGTAAACAGTTAATCGAGTAAAATTATCTACAATATGGCATGCATTTTTGCTATTTAGGGCCATTAGGTTAAGATTTTGGGTTTTCTTCCCTAACTATGTATGTATAGGTATTCTTTTAATTAATATGCTAATTGCTTCTCTTCATTTTTTTGTTTGGCTGTGATGTGTACCCTGCTTAGGTACATCTTTAGTTATATTCTTTCATTGGCTCTCCAGTTTGTCTGATATTTAGTAAGTGATAATGATAAATATAGATATACATTTAGGATTATTTATTAGTTTATTTGTTTGTTTATTTACTTATTGCATTTTTTATTGATAGCAATAATACTCTGTGTGTGTGTGTGTGTGTGTGTGTGTGTGTGTGTGTGTGTGTGTGTGTGTGTGTGTGTGTGTGTGTGTGTGTGTGTGTGTGTGTGTGTGTGTGTGTGTGTGTGTGTGTGTGTGTGTGTGTGTGTGTGTGTGTGTGTGTGTGTGTTGTGTGTGTGTGTGTGTGTGTGTGTGTGTGTGTGGTGTGTGTGTGTGTGTGTGTGTTGTGTGTGTGTGTGTGTGTGTGGTGTGTGTGTGTGTAGGTGTGTAGTGTAGTGTGTGTGTGTGTAGGTGTGTGTGTAGGTGGATGTGAGTGTTTTTAGGGTTGCATCCTGTGAAATATATTGCTTCAACTCTTAATGCCATGCTTCCTCCACCAGATTAGTAACACTGAGCTTTTGTCTGAAACTGACGATGAAACTCTGCTGATATCAACCTTGGATGGTGCCCTTCATGCCATTACCAAGTCCTCTGGAGCTCACAAGTGGACACTGAAAGATGGTATTAACTGTTGCATGTTGAAAGCATGTTTTTTGAAAATAATTTTGTTGTAATAAGACAAATACAAAAGAATGCGATTTATTAATATGGCAGCTGTATCACATGAATGATTATAATATGTTTGGTTTCTTGGTTATGTTTAGCTGCCTGGTTCACTAAGTTAAGTTTTTGTATTTGTAAAATGCATTTGTCTCTGACATTTTGCTGCTGTTTTTGTATTTGCTGAATGCATCTTGGCGATGTTGAGTTCATGCTTTATGATGTAATCTTAAATGCATGATAATTTAATGATGATTTAAGATACAATAGATATCAAAAAGACATTGTTTATATTAATCTTTAAAAAAAATGTATATATATGTATGTAAAATGTAAATTATCTTTTGTAGATATTGTATATGTCAATATTTTGTTTGCCAATGTATATAACTTCCAAACTTGTTTATTTCCTCTACAGATCCTGTAATAATAAATCCAACAGATTCTTCTCAACCACCCATGTAAGCAATTTAAATGAATATATTTACTTTGTGCAATGCTATACAAAGTTGTGTAATGCTATCCAAAGTGATGTTATAGTGTTGCCATTATTTTCATGAAGACAGTTACTTTATTTTTGCCAGGAATATTTTTATAAAGTGTATTGATAATGTGCTAATACTTAGTAGTGTTAATTATAAAACTTTTTTTCTGCATTTCTATTCCCACAGCCCACAGTTCTTCCCCAATCCACAAGATGGGTCATTATATAGATATACTTTGGGTCGTGGAAGAGATCCACTAAAGAAGCTCCCATTCACCATCCCGCAGCTTGTGGCAAATTCACCATGCCGTTCCAGTGATGGCATTTTCTACCTTGGTATGTTACTTCCTGAGGTTTCGAATGTTAGAGAAAAAGCATAAATTAAAACTCTCATATAGATGAAACATTCCCAGTATCATAAAATCAGTTTTAGTTGTGTTTACATACAGTTTGCTTTGTATTTTTGTGAGAATAAACAAAGATATGATAAATGGCTCACAAAAAATAATGTTGATATGGACATTGCTTTTTGTAATATATATATTTGATTGTTGAGTTTATTTAAAGTTTCAAAAATATACTCTCTGGCATGAAAGAAATTTACATGCAGCTACACTTGGTTTTATATTTGATTAAAAGTTTGTATTTTATCTGGTGTGTAGAGCTTCTAGAATAGTATGATTGATGGACAAAGATGAAATAAATGTGATTTTATTTAAAGTATTTTCTTTCCTGTTGAATTATTTAAATTTCTTTTCTCACTTAACAGGTAAAAAAACTGACTCTTGGGTTGGAGTGGACTCTATTACTGGTGAGAAGCAGCTTGTGTTGGGGATGGACATTGTAGACCGCAAGTGCCCCAAACCATCTCGAAATACTGTCTACTTTGGTCGCACTCTTTATAACATCATTCTATATGAAGCATCAACTGGAAATAAGTGGAACATCAGTTTCTCAGAATATGCTACAAGTGGCTCTTCATCAACAGTGCAAGATTATGGTAATGAGAGTAATAAATCATTGAATCTAGAAAAGGAAAATTTTCTGTATATTGTAATTTTATTCCTTTCATATTGTTGAGTTCCTGTTTAACTTACATAGGCCATGCACTCTATTTAGTTCTGTATTTGCCAGATTTGGTTCATTACACATCAACTGGTGAAGGATCCATCTTGACTGTAGATCAGATGACTGGTTCTCTCCTCTGGACACTGGATCTAGAATCCCCATTAGTTGCAATGTACCAGCTTGGACCTGATGGTGAGCCTTATATATGATTTCATGATGTTGATATATACTTTGTATAGTTAGTATAAGATTCACAGTATATGTGATATTTGTCATTGATACATATAGTGTAATACTATTGAAGCAGGTTAAAGATTTATTATCTCTTGTTGTTAATAGGAGGACTACAGGCTGTCCCAACAACCACAGTTGCACCGCAGACCTTGAATCACTTTACAAAAGAATTCATGCATCTGACACATCACACCCAAGATGGTTCTGATGGTCTTCTTATAAAAAAACTCAGGTACTTTTGCAGATGCATAATCTTATATAGTTTGTCTACTTTCTATTTGTGTCGAACAAAAAGCAGGCAGTTTTCAGTATTTATCCTAATTTTCCATAATCGCTAATCATTTTTAGTCTTTAGTAAAAAAAAGTGTATTATTACCTTAGACCTCTATAGTTTTATTTTAAGCTTTGTTTTCATATATTCTTCACAGTCCAACAATCTACATTGGAGAGTGCAGCTCGGGTGTATATGCATTGCCAGCACTGGTGGATACAAACACAATAACTATTTCACGCAAAGAGTCTCAGTTACTCCTAGAAGGCCCTCCTGGTTTTCGAGGTACATTAGGTTCTCGTCCGTCACAAACTGCAAGTGATGCAGAAGAAGAAAAGAAGCCTGATGTACTATTACTTGGTATGTAAACAGTGGTTTCACTGTATCTTTGCTGCACAAAGAAAAATTTAGTGAAAGTTATGGATGGGAAAGTATGGGTAATGAATGCACAGATTGCACAATAATTGATAACCATATATGCCATTCATGTATATTTACATAATAATATCTGCATTTCACCTTCAGGTGTGAGATGCCTAGAGCAGCTAATTTTAGATTCAAGTCTGTCATTGATTTTATCATTTTCAGGGTATTATGAAGTACCAGAAAAAATGAAGGCAGACCTGGCTAAGGCAACACCAGAGGAATTAGCTGATTTTAATAATCATGTACTGCCCTTAGGCATCACTCATGAGAAGAATGAAACTAATACAGCAGAGA